TTCCGGCGATATCACAGGGTAATGCAGCAATGAGAGCAGTTTCCATTGACTCTGAATCGTACTTGCTAGTCTTCCTTTTTGAAAAAGTCGAGACAAGCATCTAATTTCTTCTTACCTCTGAAAGAAATTAAGCATCAGCAAAAGAAGCTCTTGATTGTGAAACGAATTCTCCTTGTCAACACCTCAGGAAATGTATAGAGATCAGTATGGAGAATATGCATACTGATGTGATAGTGTAGGGGAGTTAAAGTTGCTTACCTAGCGTTTAATTATTCGTTACCAAACCTCCCTCGCTTTCATTTTTATCTCTGCTTGGTCCTTTTATTTCTAGAAGTACCAAGGGGTCGGTCATTAGTTATCTTTAGCGGGGAGGGGAGAAGGGAGAGGGTGGACGATTTTGGTAATGTCACCATAAAATTTATCTGATCCCCGCTAAGGCTCTGTTATGTTCTTTTGATCACCCCTTCTTGGCAGTTGATTGGCAATTAATTTTCCATAGTTTCCCCTCCATACCCCCTGAAAACCAAATTGCCCCTCAGGCGGTAACGGCAGGTTATTGTTCGCATATCAAGTTTTAATGTATGCATTATACTTTTTTTCGCAGGGAGCGATATTCTTGTACTACGCTGGGCGTATAAAACAAGTTCAAGGCAAGTTAGATGAGGTCAGTGCTAATGCAGAGGAACCTAATAAAACAGGAAGATAACTTGGTTTTATCAACGGAGTCGATGTTGTGAACTGGCCACTTTAAAGAGTTTCGAAAGCTGTCTTGTCGTGCCTTAGCTCTACTAAATAGCCCTTCGTCAGAGCGAAAAGAAAGTGAAGAAACCTACGCTCGTTATTCATGAATATAGGAAGATTGACTCGTTTTATGTTAAAACACAAAGGCTGCATCTTTCACGGTAATAAATCAAATGTAAAAGCTTTGTGATGTAATATAGCGTCACAACACTTTACACTTATACTTATTCCAAGTCCCTATGCTCCACGAACTTATATATTGAGTTCGTGGTACATGGAGGCTTGGAAAAGTGACCCAGTTGTCTCTCTGCTCACCCCTCTCTAAACCTATGGTAAACTGGCGGCTCAGACTAATCTAGAGAAGGAAAAGTAACAGAAGCTGAGGTGACGTGGCGCGACTGGCTTGACGTATCGCGGTGTTTGACGTTACTCTTAGACATGATAGAAGGCGGCTGATTGTTGCATGACATGATGTGGCATAACAATTTGAGACGTGGTGTGACGTGACATATCATGGGGTGACTGTAAAGAAATGACTGGACCTGTCACGATCAGCGTTACACGATGTGGCGTGAGGGTAAACGACTCCGGCGACATGACTTGACATGATTTTGCGATGAGCTTTTTGTCTTTTCTTTTTTTCTTCAGGCCACCAAAAGCTACAATGATTCAATTGCAGTTCAGTCTGAATGGAAACAGTTCCATCATATATGTTACTGGGAGTTGATGTGGTGTTATTCGTAAGTAGATCGTCACACTAGAC